ACACGATCTAGTTGGCTTTCACTTCCTACTCATCTCATGATCTTGGCTCCACAGAAATTATGCTTTAGAGGCAAATTAATAAGCTAAATTTCTTGTCTATGATTCTGTTTTGACTTACCTGTTCAGCTTATTTCTCAAGGACTTTCTAGCTTTTAATTCTTCTAGGTAGAGTTGCCTGTATGTTTCCAACTCAGTTTTAGTAGAATCTTCTTGAGAAGTCTTCATTGTAGAGACCTGAGATTCCAGATCTTTAATTCTAAGTTCCATTTGACTTCTCATTGAAGCATGAGCATTTTCTCTTAACTGGTCTAAGTTTTCTTGAGCTGCTGCTTGTGCCTAAAGCAAATTAACAGGATAGTTTTAAAATAGCTATAATCTGAATAATTATACCTGTTTCCTTTAGTTCTGAGTCAATTATTCAGAGAGCAATTTTAAATGAAAAAAAGCTCGTGTAAAATATTTATCATCAATGTCAACTGAATTAAATTATGATTTATAAAATTAAAGTTCAATCATTCTTGTATTAGTATTCATGCAATCTGATAATTCAAATAGAATCAATGACAAAATTTTAAAAGTCAAAAATAAACTTAAGAATAAATCCAAGTACAGTATAATTTTTAAATCATAATTTTTTCTTTCCTCTTAATAGTGAGAATAGTTGTTTAAATCATACTTCTTATCCTCTCAATTTAGTGAGAATAATGATGAAAACTGAAATCTTTAAAGGGAGGAACAAATGCCTCTAGAAATCTACAAATTACCATAAAACAAGTAGAGGAAACCTATGTAATACATCTATCCAAAATGTAATTTGCAGTGCAATGAGTTAAAGCACATTACAGATCAATAAATTAACCTGTAAAAACAGATTGACTTCCTTTAATTTTTCTACTATCTCCAGTCGTGCTCTTTCTTCAATCTCCCGTTTATACTGTTCCACTTGACTGCGTTCTACCATATTCATTTCCATAAAACTTTTCAATTTTACGACTTCTTGTTGTAATTTCTTGCTATTGCTCTCTAGTTTTTCACATTTTTTTCCTAAAGCTTTCATTGACAATAACTCCTGTTGAAGAACTTGATTTTTTGCATCCAGGTGTAGACATTTTGAAGATGTAGTTTCCAGTTTTGTTGTAAGGTCATCAGCCTGCATGAATAAAATAATATAGTTTGGAAGTGGAGTGAAATGGGTCCAACTCAAAACTACTATCAAAAATTTTTTTTTCAAATTTTAAGTAATCTCTACACCCAGTGTGAGGCTTGAACTCACAACCTCAAGATCAAGAGTAACTGAGCCAGCCAGGCACTCAAATTTTTAAATAAATTCATTTGCAATAAAATGTTCCCTGTCTTAGAATGTGGAACCTTAACAACTCAGAAAATCAAGAGCAAAGTTAAAGCCATCAGCTGTTACTGAAATAGATCTTTGCTATCATTGTGTTTACTATACAACATTTGCACTTGATTCTACACTTTTTCTATGATTCTTTCCTATCTTTCATAAAATAACTCCCCTCTTAGTAGAAAGTCTCTTAGCCCTTCCCCCATCTTAACACTCCATAATTTTTAAAGAAGTTTTAGCAATATCATATTGACTTACGTATGCCCGAGTCAAAAAATACCAAGACTCTGAAAATAAGACTCTAATTCATGAATCTATAAGTAATGATTCTAATGCCACAGCCTTTTTCTGAACTGCAAATGCTTTATGCTAATTTGAACTGCATTCCCAGGAGAAATGATTCTCCAGGTTAAGAAATCATATCTCCCAGTATAAAAATTTAATTGGATGATCCACATATTTTTTTGAGGCAAAAAAAAATTTAATTCAATACTGTTATCTTGTAATCTTTTGTTACTTTCTACAAAATAGAGATCATACTAAATAACAACAACAACAAAACTGGCTGGAGTTTCAGTGATGCTGAGCTGGGAAGGACTTCCTTCCATTATATATGATTGGTAAGACAAAGTGAGTGGATGTAGTGGTTTTATAAATTTGTTGATACTTCTCCTGTGAAAATTCCTCCCCTTAAATATATGCTGGCTTCAGTAACTGGTTTCTAGTGAACAGAATATGCAGAACTGCTGTGATTTTTAAGGCCAGGTTAGAAAATGTGATATAGCTTCCATCTGACTTTCTTTCTCTAGGGAAGCTCACCCTTAGAACCCAGCCACCACGTTGTGAGGAATCCCAGGCTACCTAGTGAGTCTTCATGTAGATAATCCAGCTGAGACTAGCCAACATCCTAGGCAAAGGCCAGCCTCAACAGCCAAACACATGCATGAACAAGCCTTTAGATGATTCTAGTCTCCAGCTTCCAGTTATGCCAGCTGATGCCAAATGAAGAAGAAATGAGTTGCCTTACTCTGCTTTGCCTAAACTAAAGATTGGTGAACAAGATAAATGCTGTTTTGAACTACTAGGCTTTGAGGTGGCTTATCATGCAGCAGTAAATTACTACCACAGATACTGATACTAAAAATGGTGTGCTGCTATTTAAAAAAACCTAAAACTAAACTTCCTTTGAACCAGGAGGTAGGTGGAACCTGAAAAGATGTAGAAAAGCGTAAGAATGAGACCCAAAAAGGGCCTCCACGAGACTCTTAGTGGAAACCTGATGGCCTGTGAAGAGGCTGACAGCAAGGGTTTCTAAGCAAGTGAAGAAAATGACACTGGAGGAAAGGGAAGTCATGCTACAAAATACCTGAAAATAAAATGGATAGGAAAGAGAAACTAAAGAAAGGCTATGCAATTGAAAGGAACCAGGATGGGGCACCTGGGTGGCTCAGTCGGTTAAGCGGCCCACTTCGGCTCAGGTCATGATCTCTCGGTCCGTGAGTTCAAGCCCCACGTCAGGCTCTGTGCTGATGGCACGGAGCCTGGAGCCTGTTTCAGATTCTGTGTCTCCCTCTCTCTGACCCTCCCCCGTTCATGCTCTGTCTCTCTCTGTCTCAAAAATAAATAAATGTTAAAAAAAAATTTTTTTAAAAAGAAAGGAACCAGGACCTACTGGGTTCAAATATCTGTTTCTCATTTACAGCCTCTCTACATGTTGAACTGTCAAATACTGCCAAAATGAAGAAATGGCTTTTGGGTTAAGAGAAAATCCAGGGTGCTACCAGGAAAACAGAAAGATTTAAGGTGTGCCTCAAATTTCTTTACGGATCTTAAGAGTATAAGATTTTTTTTTTTTTAAGTAGGTTCCACACCCGACATGGGGCTTAAACTCAGGTCCCAGAGATCAAGTGTCACATGCTCTACCAACTGAGCCAGCCAGGAGCCCCAAGAGTAGACGAATTTTAAAGGCATTGTCATGTAAGAGCTTCACAGGAAACCTGAAGCGAAAAGCTTATCTCAAAAGGACTTGCGAGGTTGGCTTTGTTAAAACACGGCATGAAATCCAGTAATATTTACAGAAAACCAAAAAAGGTAAGAGAATTACAGCAGCAAACATACTATTTGCTAGCTTGGACTAAGAGACCAAATCGTGCAAAATGAAAAGAGGCCTTTGGGTCTTAGAAGTCCCACAGGGAGGAAGCAGGATGAGAAAACAGCTGCAAATACAGGTCATTCCTTATGAAAAGGAAGGAACCAAGAGCTCAAAGAGTAAAGAAAGGGAAGACACATGGAGAAAGTATTCCGTGGTTAGGACTAAGTCCTAACTTAAGAACTGACAGCATGCATCAGGCTATATTTCAAAACTCTTATAGACTAGGGTGCTTCCCATCTTTTTCTGAACGGGAGAGTCTTCAGCAGTTGACTAGAATGTTGCATTTGTGAGTGTTAAATAACTGCCTCTTTAGTTCTCAAGTCCTCATATTGAGAGCACTTGCACTCAAGGGGCTATACTTTAGATACCATAACCCAGGCACCTTATCCCCACTGCACCTGATTAAGATGGTAACATCTTTTTTTTCTTTTTTTAATTTTTTTTAACGTTTATTTATTTTTGAGACAGAGAGAGACAGAGTATGAACAGGGGAGGGGCAGAGAGAGAGGGAGACACAGAATCTGAAACGGGCTCCAGGCTCTGAGCTGTCAGCAAAGAGCCCGACGCGGGGCTCGAACTCACGGACCGTGAGATCATGACCTGAGCCGAAGTCGGATGCTTAACTGACTGAGCCACCCAGGTGCCCCAATACCTGTGCTTTTCAAATTGTTCCAGAAAAACATAAAAGGAAGGGAAACTTCCAAATTCATTCTATGATGCCAGCATTACCCTGATACCAAAACCAGATAAAGACACCACAAAGAGAATTACAGGCCAGTATGTCTGATGAACATGCAAAAATCTTCAACAAAATAAGCAAACTGAATCCAACAATACATTAAAAAATCATTCACCAGGGGCAGCCGGGTGGCTTAGTCAGTTAAGCATCCAACTTCAGCTCAGGTTACGATCTCATGGTTCGTCGGTTCAAGCCCAGTGTCAGGCTCTGTTGACAGCTCGGGCCCTGGAACCTATTTCAGATTCTGTGTTTCCCTCTCTTCTGTCCCTCCCCCGCTCATGCTCTGGATTTGGCAATGATTTCTTAGACATGACACCAAAAGACAAAAGCAGATTAAGTTTACTTCATCAAAATTAAAAACTTCTATGTTTCAAATATCACCATCAAGAAAGTGAAAAGGCAAGCGACTAAATATGGGAAAATATCTGAAAATCCCATATCTGCTAAGGGATTTGTATGTGGGATATTTAAATAACTCTTCCAATAATGAAAAGACAATCCAATATAAAAATGGGGAAAAGAATGGATTAGTTGTTTAAAGAAGATATAGAAATGGATAAAAATCACATTAAAAGGGAGATGTTCGGGGTGCCTGGGTGGCTCAGTCAGTTGGGCGTCCGACTTTGGCGCAGGTCACGATCTCATGGTTTGTGGGTTCGAGCCCCACATCGGGCTCTGTGCTGACAGCTGGGAGCCTGGAGCCTGCTTCAGATTCTGTGTCTCCCTCTCTCTCTGCCCCTCCCCTGCTCACACTGTCTCTCTCAAAAATAAAAGAGAGATGTTCAACATCATTAGTTATAAGAAAAATGCAAACCAAAAACCACAAGATGCCATTTCATACCCACTAGAATTGTTATAATAAAAACAACAGATAATGACAAACATTGGCAAGAGTCAGGAAAAATGGGAACTCTCAAAAACTGCTGATGAAAATGTAATGTTGCTGCCACTTTGGAAAACAGTCTGGCAGTTCCTCAAAAGGTTAAACTAGAAAAACATGTTTTCTAAACTTATTTTAGAGAGAGTGCACAAGTGGGGTAGAGGGACAGAAGGAGAGGGAGGGAGAGAATCCCACGCAGGCTCCATGCTCAGAGCAAAGCCCAATGTAGGGCTCGATTCCACAACCCTGAGATCATGACCTGAGCTGAAATCAAGAGCCGGCCTCTCAACCAGCTGAGCCATCCAAGTGCCTGCCCCTCCTCAAAAGGTTGAAAAAACAAAAACAAACAAACAAAAAGGTTTAACAGAGTTACCATATGAACCAGCAATTGTATTTATAGGTATATACCCAAGAGAAATGAAAACATGTTCACATAAAAAGTTGTACATTACACAAAAATAACCTCAAAATGGATGAAAGACCTCAATGTGAGACAGGAAGCCATCAAAATCCTTGAGGAGAAAGCAGGCAAAACCCTCTTTGATCTTGCCAGCAGCAACTTCTTATTCTAAACGTCTCTGGAGGCAAGGGAAACAAAAGCAAAAATGAACTACTGGGACCTCATCAAAATGAAAAGCTTCTGCACAGTGAAGGAAACAATCAGCAAAACTAAAAGGCAACTGATAGAATGGGAGAAGGTATTTGCAAATGACATATCAGATACAGTGGGAGAGAGCCAAAGCATAAGAGACTCTTATAAACTGAGGGCTGATGGGGGGTGGGAGGGAGAGGAGGGTGGGTGATGGGTATTGAAGGGGGCATCTTTTGGGATGAGCACTGGGTGTTTATGGAAACCAATTTGACAATAAATTTCATATATTTAAAAAAAAAAATGGTTAGTATCCAAAATCTACAAAGAACTTACCAAACACAACACCCAAAAAAACAAGTAATCCAGTGAAGTAATGGGCAAAAGACATGAGCAGACACTGCTCCAAAGAAGACATCCACATGGCCAACTGACACAGGCAAAA